CAGGTTTTGCCACTTCTAATTCATTCCACACTGCAGGCTGCTGGCCTCTCCCCAGCTCCAGTTCAATCGTCAGTCACCTTGCTATTCTTTCCCCACCAAACAGAAGCTGGATCCTTGACATGGCAATCCCAGCCTCTGGCATCTTCCCCACCTGCCTCTCTTCATCATTCATACACGCTGCCTCCCCTCTCCCTTTGTCACCAAGCACAACCCTCTATGTTCCAGCCTTACTACTTTCTATTCTTCCCCTTCCCCACCTTTGTTCATCTTCATCAGCGTTGTTTGTCCTCAGTACCACGTCCCCCTTCTCTCATCCTGGAGGTCCACTGGTACCACCACTGCAGTACTTGCTACGTGCTGGCTGAGATCAAATACACTTGTGAACAAGTCTTATCTTCTATCAGCCTGTAAGCTCGTTAAGGATAAGGAATATGTGGATCCTTCCATAGAAAAACCTTTATGCCATATGAGTTCTTAAAAAAAAATCAAAATCAATATAAAATTTAACTTTTTCTCCATGGTGTTTTAAGATAACAGGAAAACATGAACATTTATTGCAGAAGCAGGTGTGTTACCACCTGCAAAATATCTCCAGTTTCATGAGAAATGGCTCCAATTTTAATTGTGCTAAACGGCATTTCCCTCTGGATACACCAGGGAATGCCCTGTGTGTGATCAGGAGAGACCAGTAGGGGAGTGGCATGGGATGGCAGGCTCAGTAATGACTCCCAAAGATACACACAAGTCCTTGAACTTGTGAGTGTTAGCTTATATGGCACAGGAAACTATGCAGATGTGATTAAGGACTTTGAGATGGAGAAATTACCCTGGTTTATAAGGAGACAGAGGGAGGTTTGACTACAAAAGAAAAGGCAGTATGATGACAGAAGTAGAGATAGGAGCGATGCATTTTGAAGACGGAAGAAGGGGCCACAAGTCAAGGAATACAGGCAGCCACTGGGAGCTAAAAAAGGTGAGGAAATAAATTCTCCCCTCAGAGCCTCCTGAAGCTCTGCTGGTACCTTTAGCCCAGTGAAATGGATTTTGGACCTCCGACCTCCAGAACCTTAAGAAAATAAATATGTTTTAAGCCACTTTGTGGTAGTTTGTTACAGCAGCCATAGAAAACTAACACACACAGTGAGTACTTAGACTTTCTGGGCACCACATTACAACACAGTAGTTCTCCCAGCGAGGTTCCTGGACCGGACTTAACCACCTTGATGCTTATTGCAAATGCAAATTTCCAGGTTCTATCCAGATCTACTGAATCAGAAGCCCTGGGGCAAGGCCCAGCAATCTGATTTAACAAATCCCCCAGGGGGAATCTGAGGCATGTTCAAGTTTGAGAACCACTACTACATTTTCATTTTCCCTTTCAGCTTCATAATAAATAGGATGTTGGGCATTTTTAAAGGATGAAATAAACTAACAGAACATCTCTTTGAAGCAAATGCTATGAGAACACAATGTGAAAAACAGCAGGCACATCCCGAATATAGTACAGCACAAACAGCAAACAAGTCTTCAAAATAACAGCATGAGAAGCTATTACTAATCTAAAGTCTATTTCATTTGTGCTTAAATGTTTTGAACTAGCAAAGTAAAATACGAATGCAGTCACTGGAGCCAGCTACTAAATGAAATACTTTTCCTTAGCAGGCAAAATAGATTTTAAATAAATGGCACCACAAATTAGCACTTTTTCTCACAATGCCAATTTCTCTTTTGTATTCAGAACGGGGTTCATTCTGTGCTCCTATGATGTTTTTGGCCTAGAATTGCCATATTAGAGACAGGAGGATAAAACTTCCAGTGTCATATTAAGGGCAAGTTTTATTTTTTTAATCCAAATGTATGCTAAGAGGAAGTTAAAAAAGGAAAAGAATAGCATTTCCAATATGATTGCTAAAAATGGCCATTAGGTACAACTTTCACATAATATTATCTATAATACCTGTTTTTTAAAAAATCAGATTTCATATCACAAGCAGCTTATTGAGAGAATGGATGTCATATCTTGATACAAGATGATCACAATAATCAACCAGTATCAAAACCTAACCTTTATTTTTAATTTCTATACTCTCATCTAACAGGCTACATTAAATTATGATAAATGATCTATAGCATTGTGCATTTTTGTGGTAGTGTTCAATAATCAGAATCTTGCCAGTCTTTGATAACAAATCATTACATTTATGAAAACTTCTTGCGCTACATAGAAATCAACATCAACATGAAGAATCCATTCTCTGAAGTCAAAGAGCTGGTTAACAAGCAAAAGGTGAGAAATCATTTTCCTGCCTAGGACCAGAAGAAAAGAAATTCTTATAAACTAGGTTGGCAGGACCCAAAAGTCCAGGTGTGTAAGGATGTAATTTCACAGCAATCCATACCTGGATGGGGTCAGGAGGTGGGGCAAAGAACTGAAACAACTCTCTACCATCGTCTTTGGTCCCCAACTCCACTCCCTCACCACCCTGGGTATGTACAGGAAGAAGGGGAGAGACAGAGAAGACACAGGGAAGAGGTAGATCCATGAGTTCACAAGCTGGGAGACCACAGATCAGGGTCGGGGAGGAGGAAGAGGAAGAGGAAAGATGCCCTTTCCACACCAACCCCAGGTGTCTTTTACAATGGGGCATGTAGGAGAACTAAGCCCGCTTTGGCCATAGAGCCCAGTCTCCTTAATGCAAATTCCATCAATCACAAAGCCTCATATCAAAAGTATTTTTAGATAAATCTTAACTCGTCTGCTAGATTATATGGTCCTTAAAGGCAGGAACCATGCCTTCTTACATCTAACTCTATGCCTTGTGCATCGATGTTGGATAAATCTCAGCTAAATGGAGTGAACTTCCCATGCTACTGATGACACCAAGGAAAGGACAAGCAGTGGTAACATGAGCTCCATGAGGTTAGGGACTCAGGCTGTCTTGCCAACTGTTTTATCCAGGTGACTAGAATAACTGCTATCATAGGATAGGTGCTCAACAGACACTGAATGAAAGAACGAACAAATGAATAGAGATCAGTATTAACCATCAGTCATGAACAGAAGCTCTTAGAAGCAGCTATGACTGAAATACCCCTTCAATCATAGATTTTCATCCTCAAATGCCTTGCATCCAACATTTTTACTTAGCAACATGCACAGCCTGCTTTATATGGCAGCTACAGGATTATCAGAAACCATGATTAAGTTTTTTTGGTTTTGTATAACTTAAAGTAAAGTGCACAAACCTAAAGGCAGAAAAATTCAATATATATCTGTGTATGTATATGTTTACACTCTACCCATACCAAGAACTTTCCACCACTCACTCCAGCAGGCTCTCTTGTGGCCCCACTCCCTTAGGTAAAATTACCCCTATCAGTATAGATTATTTTTGCCTAAAAAAAAAAAAAATCTTCTCTGTGCTTTGGAATAGTCATTCCAAGGTGACTGTTACCACCAGACTTTTGCTTAATAAGTCCAAGACAATGACAGCACAGGTGCTTGCCAAGCGGGCCTATGTGCGTGTGTGTTAACAAATGAGAAGGGAGGCAAAAAGCAAGACACAAACACTGAGCCATTTGTCCCACCTGACAGCAGACCCAGTACCAGATGCTCCCCCAGCTAGAGTTTCTCCAGAACCACACGCAGAGCTATAATCAGAGCATGAGCTGGTAGACAGGAATGCCTGCTGCTCTGCGCCACATCAAGTCCTTGTCCTAAGTACCCCTGTCCCCACCCTAAACACATGCAGACAAGACTAGGCCCTTCCCTGCTGAGAAAGAACACCAGTTTCTTAACTAGAACATCTCATTACCTCCCCCAGAAAGCTGTTGTCTTTAAGCAGAGAACATCTGGTTTGTTTCATTATTGTTGCTGATGGGGAAAATGTTTTATTAGGGTGATCCTTGTATGGGAAAGCCATTTAGCTCTCGGATTTTATAAAAGCACACTCGAATAAAATAATGTTTTCCTTGAATTTGGTGGATGATATTTCTTTGAGTGTCAGAGAGGTCCCTGATGATGATTCAGCTAATGCAGAGTGAGAGTTCAGGTACAAATTTTGAGACACGGATCGATATTTCACATCAAATTACCTGCACTCTTCTGTGAGTTACCAGTTTTCTATTTCCCAAGGAAAGAGGGGGTGAATACTAATGGAATTCAGTTCTCAGGCACTGCCCAAGCCAAAGGAAGCTGTAATGGTAGCTTTGTGACAGCATTCGAGCGCGGACCAATGTTTTTCACAGTCATATTCAGCTGGAAACTTTTGAGAAGTAGAAAGTCTATGCCTTTAGGGGATGGTCTGATAATGACCATCATATTTAAATGAGTGTTCTTTTGGGTACCTCCAAAATAGGGTTTTCATTTCCAGAGTTTTTACAAAGTTGATATGTTATTAAGTGAACTGAAAAGAATCATTGTTTGAAAAAGCACCAAATCCAGAAACCCTTGTATAGCTGTAACACACATCACTCAGGAAGGCAGCAGTCACCACTAGCACTTGCAAATTAAGCAGCCCCCCATCGCCCCCACAAAAACCCATTTCACCTCCACGAAGTTTTAAAGCCTTCCCACCTCACTGCCTGGAGAAAGCTGTCAGTGTGAAATGTCACTCTCTCGAGACACAGCCTGAACATGATGATGCAAAGACAAGCTGCGGAGAGGACTTCTCGATGCCCTTTAGAGAAAATTCCATAAAACCCAAATCAAAATATTGCATCTCACTAAACAAGCAGCCATAATCTCAGTGCTGATGAGATACCTTTATCATCTGAATAAGTTTTAATTTATCCTAGATGAAGAACAATTTCACCTAAAAGCATATTTCCCAAAATATACAAAATATGAAGTTGTCCCAACATGCTTTTTCTTAAATTCCTTAAGTGAGGCCTTCCCACCCGCCGCGGCCCGGACTAGCTGCTGGGTGCCCCCGGCCAAGACCGCCGTTCTGCCGCCCTCCCACCGGCGACCATGGCCTCCTTCGAGGTGCCGCGGCAGCTATGTCATGGAATGAAAACAACTTGTACGTCCTCACCAGTGTCTGAGGATGAACAGAATGGGAGACTGGAATTGGAAAATCAACACTGATTGACACGTTATTTAATACTAATTTTGAAGACCAAGAATCTTCACATTTTTGCCCACATGTGAAACTTAAAGCTCAGACATACGAATTCCAAGAAAGTAATGTTCGATTAAAATTGACCATTGTAAATACAGTAGGATTTGGTGACCAAATAAATAAAGAAGAGAGCTACCAACCAATAGTTGACTACATAGATGCCCAGTTTGAGGCCTATCTTCAAGAAGAACTGAAGATTAAGCGTTCTCTCTTCATCTACCATGACTCTTGCATCCATGTGTGCCTCTACTTCCTCTCACCCACAGGCCACTCTCTGAAGACACTTGATCTCCTAACCATGAAGAACCTTGACAGCAAGGTGAACATTATACTAGTGATTGCCAAAGCAGATACAGTTTCTAAAACTGAATTACAGAAGTTTAAGATCAAGCTCATGAGTGAATTGGTCAGCAATGGCGTCCAGATATACCAGTTCCTGACAGACGATGACACTGTTGCTAGGATCAACTGTGCAATGAATGGACAATTGCCATTTGCTGTTGTAGGAAGTATGGATGAGGTGAAAGTCGGAAATAAAATGGTCGAAGCTCGCCAGTACCCCTGGGGTGTTGTACAAGTGGGAAACGAAAACCACTGTGACTTTGTAAAGCTGCGGGAGATGCTCATTTGCACAAACATGGAGGACCTGCGCGAGCAGACCCATGCCCGGCACTACGAGCTCTACAGATGTTGCAAGCTGGAGGAAATGGGCTTCTCGGATGTGGGCTCAGAGAACAAGCCTGTCAGTCTTCAGGAGACCTACGAAGCCAAAAGACATGAATTCCATGGTGAACGTCAGAGGAAGGAAGAAGAAATAAAGCAGATGTTTGTGCAGCGAGTGAAGGAGAAAGAAGCTATATTGAAAGAAGCTGAAAGAGAGCTGCAGGCCAAGTTTGAGCACCTGAAGAGAATTCACCAAGAAGAGAGAATAAAGCTCAAAGAGAAGAAAAAACTTTTGGATGAAGAAATAATCGCCTTCTCTAAAAAGAAAGCTACCTGTGAGATATTCCAGAACCAGTCCTTTATGGCAACTGGTAGCAACCTGAGGAAAGACAAGGACTGCAAGAACTCTAATTACATGTAAAACAGCAGTTCCAAAGCACAGAAGATCATCATAAGCAAAAGTTATTAAAACACCAGAAGTGTGCTTTGATTTTCTTGCCATTTTTATTTGCTTTATCACTTACTTTATATCTCTCAAATGGCCACAATTACTGACATTTATGGAAAAATACTTTTAAATATAAGGTCAATACATAAGCCAGAGTGGATGATATTATAGGCTGAACATCCCTAATCTGAAATATGAAATGCTCCAAAATACAAAACCTTTCAACCACATGACATCACAAGTGGAAAATTCTACACCTGACACCTTTCTTTCTGAAAGATTGATGTATACAAACTTTGTTTCATGTACACAATTATTAAAAATATTATATAAAATTACCTTCTAGCCTATGTAGATAAGGTGTATGTGAAACATAAATGAATTTTGTGTTTAGACTTGGGTCCCATTATGTATATGCAGATATTCTACAATCTGAAATCTGAAATAAACTCCTGGTCCCAAGCATTTTGGATAAGTGATAATCAACCTGTATTTCAACCTGCTGTATAACAACCTTCACTGTTGTTAGAAATTTTTAAGTTGCCATTTTGCAATGAATCTAGATCTTTTTTCCTGTTGCTTTGCAGTACATTATACCAAAGAGCAAAGTCTCAGTGCCATTGAAAATACAGAACTCTTTAATATTATGGCCATCTTGATTGCATTTATGTTCTAGATGAACCTTTTTTTGGTATATTCTTTAAAAACAAAAGCTTTGGGAATATGTTTAGGAATGTATTATAGAGTTAAAACTCTAATCTTTCAATAGTTATATAGAACTTTTAAATTTTTGATATAATTATTCATATGGTAATATGATCCTAAGCTTTTATGTCAAATTATATAATGATAACTTTTCATGCTTCAGTATGCCTTATTGAGGCTGATGTATTACTGAGATGAAACAAATGTTTAAAAGTAAAAACATCCAGGTATATAAACCCTTTTGATAAAGTACCTTTGAACCTGGGTATATCACACTATTTTCATTAGGATGTGTTATATACTTGTTTAAAACTCTATCTTTCAGGGAAAATTAATAAGGTTGAATCAATTCATTAAAAATATTTTTTAAGAAACCAAAAAAACATTCCTTAAGTGAATTTTATTCATTTTTGTCTTTATTGATATACAATAGTTATACCTATTTGGGGGGTACGTGTGATATTTTGATACCTGTATACAATGTATAATGATTAAATCAGGGTAATGGGATATCACCTCAAACATTTATCTTTGTCCAGCTAGATTCTCAATATGAATAGTATATTGATGGTTTACTAATCACATTGTAGAAAATAAATATATCACAAGAGAAAACAAAAATGGGCTGTGTAATGATATCAGTTTGTGTGAAAAAGGATTTCTATATCCAGTCTGAAAATTAGGAAAGGATTTCTGATGAGATTCAAGAACATTAAGAATGCAGTAAACACAGATTTTTGGCTTTGCCAGTATGACTTTAATTGGAAATAGTAAATAAAGCCAAGTATGGCACTTAATTTGGGCGTTTTGAATATAATTACTAAGTTTAACTCAGCAGTCTTAACACATATAAGAGTTATAAGAAAGAGCCTTAGCTTTTTCAATGTTAACTGGTCAATCCTGCTCTGACTAGTAGACCTGTATGGTCAGTAATGACAGCTGGTTACAATTGGACCATGAAGCCAATAGTACTTGGATTTAGATCTCAGCCCTCCCACTGTGGCTATGTGACCTCAGGCAAATTACTGATCCTTTGTAAATCTTGGTTTCTTCACCTATAAGGATAAGGAGTTATATTATACAATACATAAGAAATGAATGTTAAGTGGTCAACATAAAGCCTGACCCAAATTGAGTGCTTGATACAGCATAGCTAATGCTATGATTGATTACTATCAGTATTCAAAATTTCACCCTGGCTATGCACTAAGTAAGCTACAAGTCATTGTCCCACTCCAAAAGAGGTGGAACTTTCATTATAAGGGTTTTTTTTTTTAATTTAGTTTTTTTAAAAAAAGAGATGGGGTCATGCTATGTTGCCCAGGCTCCTTTGAAACGGGCTTATAATGATCCTCCCGCCTCTGCCTCCTGAATAGCTGGGATTACAGGCACATGACACTGTACCTGGTGAGAAAAGCTTGTTTTTAAGCGCTATATATAATGAAGAATTCCAAGTTATTACCTGACATAGGGCATGTAAACCTTCTATGGAAAGCAAGCTTGCATCTTATCAGAATCACACAGAAGACTACAAAATGTCCTTAGAAAGCCCATGAGAGTGCCATTCCTGGATATTCTGGGTCATGCAATCAAGTAAAGGAAACCTTTAAGAAAATATTCAGAGGCCAGGGCAGTGAGAACGAGACAAACATAAACAGTGGATTTTTTAGACAAAACTTTTCTATTTCTTTGCCATTTAAATGGAATTGAACTTTTAGTTTTTATTTTTCTCTTCTTTAAAATTCACAAATTCATGCTCTTACAACCCAAATATACTTAAATCTATGCACAGTCACTTTCATTCTAATTCCTATACCTTAGAGTTAACTTATTAGAGAAGAAAGTATTAACATTAAAGACACTTTGAAAAAAATTATCAAAATTTCTATTTCTAAAAGGAATCTTCATTTTTACCTACAGCTATCATTTATATATATGACTATCACAGAAAAATGTACAAACTTGTTTTACTTATCATTAAAGCTCTAAATATTTTAGTGAGACTATATAGTCTCATATTTTTTAAGATACTACATGAAATTTTATCACTTTGATAATTTAATGAAGTGATTCTTCTAACATGAGACATTAAGACTTTTAAATTCTGCTTTGGTTTTGCTGTTTTATGTGTGTATACTCATACATATTAAGTTGTAAGAAGTGAAATAACTTTGCATATCCATATTTTGTGCTTCTTTGTAATTCTTCCCTCGGGATAAATTCGTAGGATTTGAATTGCCAGGTCAAACATAAGATATTTAAGATTATTCTGTATCACCATGATGCCTTCCAAGCAGGTTGTACTAGTTTACCATAAGTATCAGCAATTTCAAATTCTTCACGAATTATGGGATATGAACTGAAAGGTGTTATGTTAGTCCATATTACTGATTTTAGAGATGAAGCAATTAAACCCAAGAGAGATTAAGAGAATTGCTTAAAGTTGCGAAGCTGATTAGTGGCAGCATTAGATCTCAAACACAGGCCTTCTGACTCTCTCTGTAGGACCTTCACTATGTCACAATATCCTTAGTTTCTCACTGGCCTCAGAGCGCCCTCCTCAGATAGAATACAGCCACATACCCATACAGAAGGAAAACGGAGTATGAGGCAATCAGAAAATATGCAAGAGGGTGGATGTGGGTAGAAGGGGGAAGATAAATGAAATATGAAACAACACTGAAGAAGTTCCTAAAATTATTCAAGATCAATTTTGCTCCAGAATGTATGTTTACCAATTTGCAAGTGTCAAAGCATTCTCATAAGAAGGAGTCTTACTAACTGGGATACAGCAGCAGCACAATATTTTAAAACTTTACGTTAAGGGATTGTAACAGACACGGGCATTCATCTTCCCCGCAGAGCCCACCTCTCGATCAGTAATAATTAGTGTGATGCCTTATATTTTCAAAATACTTTATAGCTTCCAAAGCATGCCTACACACACAAGCTGAGGCAGGGCAAGATCATTTCACCATTTTACGGATGGACAAAAGAGGTTTTTAGAGAGCAAAAGACCCAATGAAAATAACTGGCAGAGCCGAGACAAACCTCAGTCTTGACTTCTAACCTAATGTTCTCCCATGCTGATGTGATCTTTATTTCTTAATGAGTAAGGCAAACTTACTAATAAAAAAAATATACTACTTGAATCGCTAGCTTTTTGAAAGTTGACCTAGAAAGTCTCAAGACCCTAAGATGTGTTTCTAGTTTTGCCTCAGGCAAGCCGATTCATCCTTCTGAAATGAGAAATTTGGGATAGTTGACCTTTAGGGTCCACTCCCAATGTTAGTATTCTATGTCCTGTGAAATTCTTATCGAAGTATTTGATGGGGACCATTTTCATAGGTAAAAATAAATGTCAAGCCTCCTTAAACAAGCAACAGAGTCCAAGCAATTTCAAGAATTTTTAAATGACACAAAGAACAAAATTTGAAATGGACACACAATCTAATGGCTGGACAAATTTTATTTTTATCCCCAAAATAGGCAAAAAGGATGACAATCCTGTTTCCATTTCAGAAAGGTTCCAAGCTAACCAATTAACAAAAGAGAATCTTGAAAGATGCCACCAGTGGAACACTTCATGGCTTTGTGTGTTGGACTTTGAAAAGCACACAAGATCAACAGCAAAAGGCTGTGCCTTAGTTGGATTCAGAAAGTATAGGCAGGGCTCAGTCTGGCAAAGGCACTTTTCAACTACAAGTTTTTACCAGTAGTTAGTCATGAAGTCAATGTGATACATGATAGGTGGCAACTTGCTTGTTTAAGACATGTAATAAAATAAGTTACAGGTTATCAGAGCACTTTGCAGAATGCAGCAGCAGGGCACAGTTGGGCTAGTTCTTGAGATGTGCTGTCAGTCTCAGAGCAGGCTCTGGTCCTGGCTCTCAGGAGCTAGCGCTTGCCAAGTTCAGCCTCTTAGAAGCACTTGAGGGAGGCTGGAAGGCTGCAAGAGGAATATGGGACTTGTTCCTTTCTGTTTTGCTTCCAGTTCTTGTCATCACCTACCCTCCTCCACCCTGCAATGTGTCTTCATCCCAGCAGCAACAGCAGTTCCTTCAAGTCACAGCAGCTGGTTCCACTTTGCAGCTTTTCCACATTCCCAGAGCCAATCCCCATCCTACCAACACCAGCTGGTCGATGTCCCCTCCCCAGAAGTTGTATACGGCTCCAGGGATCTTCCTTCCAGCGTCTAGTTCTGACCACCCCGGCCTCTCCCTGGAACCTGCTGGTCCCCACAGGTGTAGCGTCTCCCTGCTGTCCACTACCTCCATGGTCTCCACGCAGTACTAACAGATGAAGGCCAGTCCTTGAAACATCTGCTACTGGTCCAC